CAGAATACTTGCACGTAGAACCGGAACTCGTCTGAAAAGGCGACATTGTGCCACTCCTGTACTCAGCTTTGTCGTTTGGCGCACCAGAGTCGCTGTCTCTCTCAATGCTCCATTGTTAAGGGAAGCCGAAGTAATGGTCACCCAGCTGATTGTTCACGCGGCTGCAAACGTTGACGCCCCTTAGAAGCTGATACTGGGCGTGCTGCAAACATGCTTATTTTGTGACTAATAGTCCCTGATGCGGTCGTACGGTTTTGCAGGGCTGAGCTCACAATGTATGTTCTCTCGGGCGTTAGATCGGGAGGGCGTACAGATCCTGCATGCCTCAGCAATCCACTGATTTCATATTCGCATGACAGTGGTTGGATGTCGACCAGTGCGACCGGCGATATTACGGAACGATAATCTACACTTTCGATAGGCAACGATCCTGCCTTTATTGAATTTTCGAAACTTGCTGGTAAGCATTTGCGCTTCTTATTCGAGGGATAACACGATATTCTGAGCAAACTCCAACCTTATAAAGCATTTTCCGAATGAGAAATCCACTACATAAATTTTATGCAGTGCTTCAGATATCGTTTCTCCCTCCTGCGTCGTCTAAATGCGCTGAAATACTAATCATTTGCATAGCCCAACTTCTTCATCCTTGCATGTGATTCTGACGTTTGTCAGATAATTTCTTCCTGATGTAGCAATTTTAAGTGTATTTTTAACTGATTATGAGTATTATACCCTGAAGAACCAAAACATTACGACCCCCTACTCAATAAAGCGTTACGTGATCCTTGGCCTGCAAAAAAGCTGCAATTCTCCTTAGCTTGGATGCCACAAGTTCTTGGTGGATGACTGGAGACAGGTCGTACCAAATGTCTAAGCGGAGGTCACGCGAAGTCGAGATATCTCGACAAGGTGGTGTGTGAACTCTGAGTTGCCACTCCATGACATCCTAAATGTGCTCTATCGGGTTAAGATACAGCAAGTTAGGTGGCCAAGACATTAACTGGAATTCATCCTTATGCTGCTCGATCCATTCCAACACAGTTCGAGCCTTGTGACATGGGCGTTGTCCTGCTGGAAGAATACATTTGCATTTTGGAAGGCTGACGTAATGTAAGGGTGCAAATGGTCCGCAATTATATCCAGATAGTCCGCAGCTTTCAGGGTCTGTTCTACCACAACTATCAGTCTCAATGCCGTCCATGAGAACGTTTCCCAAAGCATAATACCGTCACCACCAACCTGTGTATAACCTGCTGTACAGGGGAGAGCAATCATTCACCTGGAAGATGGGGTACCCTGACACGACCATCAATGTGATGAATGAAAAATCGTGATTCATCCAAGCAGGCAACTGTCTTTCACTTATCCATGGTCCAGTCTCGATGTTCCCGGGCCCAATGTAGGCCTAGGTGACAATGGCGCTTGGTCAACAGAGGCACACCAGGGTGGGACGTCTGCTGCGCAGTCCCATATCCAATAGTGTCCGCTGAACTTTGTGTGTTCGGAAACACTTGCACTTAGACCTGTATTGCATAGGACTGTTACCTCAGCCACTGTCTGGAGCCGCTTTTGCTGAACCAAGCGGATTTGTGGAACTTTGGGCGTCTGCTGCTGGCTTCATCGTCATTTATCCATTTTGCAAAAATACTTACAACGGCAGATCGTGAACAATCTACCAATTATACAGTGTCGGAGATACTCGTTCCGGGTCTTAACATTCTGTCCTCTATCAAATTTGCTTAGATCAGCAACCTTCCCCATCACTCGCAAAAGTGCAAGCATGATTTCTTACCTTCTGCAGCAGCAGTTAAATACCATTCCCACTTATTCAAGTCATTGTAATTTTGATAATTACTTTCCTGTCATTGTAATTTAGATAAAAAAAAGAAACCTTCAGGTGTTTTTCAACAGGCAACACTGTACAATAAAAATTATTCATATAACTCTTTAGTAAGCATGATACTTATTTATATGCATATATGCATTTGCATATGAAGAAATCTATTAATAAGAACCCACTTATTTTCTTTCTATGCAGGATTTTAATTACATAAATTTTTTAAATAATAAAAACCACCAACATATCACTAGTATGGAAAGCATAAATAAATACCTTTCTTTTTTTTTTTTTACTTTTTAATATCTTGGTTGGCACTTCAAGATATAAAGTGTGAAAAATCTGGTTTCAAATTTAGATTCCATATTTAACTTTTACATATATCCTTAACAAATAAATAAAAAAAAAGTCATTCTTCATATTTGCTCATTTATGGTGTTCTCGATATTAATTTTACTAGCCACCAGCTATGTAGAGTTTCAGTGAAATTTACAAATTTTATAATGTTCTTGAAGAACTGATCTGTAATTATCATACACAAATATTGTAACATGACCATTAATACTGAAGATATTTAAATATACTGATCAAGTGTATTAAAGTATTAATAGAGATTAATGGATATTTCATTATTTATTTTCCCATAAAATCTAAAATTTAAAATTAATTTTAACTGTGACCTTATGCACAGTTACTTTCTTTGGTCATTGTTATTTCCTTGATACTTATTTTTATTTGCTTCTCCATTACTTCCTTGGTCATTGAATAAGACTTGAGAAATTTTCAAATTTGCAACTAAACCATAATACTTATAAAACCATAAACCATTACCTTTCATGGTCATGAAATAAATTTTACACAAACAATAGCATAAGTATACTAAATGTCATATTATGATAGTGTCACACCTAATTGTATTCCTCTACCCTGAATTCAGCATTAATAACTAAACTTATCATAAAATTTGAACACATCTAACTTTCATGTTAATTTACGTTTCATTTCTAAAAAAACACATGGCATAAACATATTCCCGTTAAACTTTGCATGTATTTTTTACCACTATCATTATTATTTTATAATATTTTAAATGATATTAACACATAACAAATAAATTAAAAACATACGAATATTAAAATGATGCTCTGAAGAAGTTTCAATAATTAATATACGATTATTTAACAATGACAAAAAATCTGATGTGAAAAGCACATGACTCATTCTATGGCTAATCACTTTTGAGTTATGAGAGACATATACATACATATATGTACACACACATGTATATGTGTATGCACAGATGTCATGCCGAAACTAGTCAAAAGCCCCAAATACAAAATTTTGACACTTTAAGCCAAACCATTTTTGAGTTATGTAACATATGTACATATAGAGCTCCCGACAACAAGTCAAAAGTATATTTCCTCTGAAGCTTGAAAACTGAAATTTTTTGCATTTACAATACTTCTTTTTCCCTTGCTTTATAACAAGGAAGTAAAATGCTTTGAACATTTGCTCAGGAAAAGGACTTTTCTGGAAAAAGATTTCCTAAAGACAACCTATAGATATGGTTCATACAGCAATCAGAGGAAAACCATACATTAACATGCAGCCAGTTTCAGAAATTCTCATCATTGTCACAAACAGTTTATTAGCATACCGTGAGTTGTGCACTATTAATATCATTATAGGTAATATATTTCTCTTGATTAATTATAATGGTTCACGATGGCATTTTGATACAATATCATGCATACATTTACAAACCATTAGATATGTAACTTTTTAGTTAAAAAACCATTTTTTGTCAGTATTCCCCATTGCTATTTTAGTTCTTATTCTGGGGTTTAATAATATTACAAATATATACAACGAAATTTTCATATTGCATTCAAACTCACATAAATCTAAATAAAATTAAATCATACACTAACAAATACTTTCTGACTGAATCAACAAGAAATGACAAAACTGATGATGATTAACAGAACAAATTGATAGTAATTATTCAAATATCAATTAATTTTTGTCAATATTTTTTCCCCCAATAGCGGGCACAAGCATGAACTTATGCTATAGTACCAACAGTTGACTGAGATATATTTAATATTAAATTTCACACTAAAAAGTTAATAATTTTCAAAGTTTAAGAAATAAATTTTCCTATGACATATAATTATGCATTAAACATTCACAAATTACTCATAATAATGAATCTTACATGTATTTCTTTTATGATATATAATAGCACTGAAAAAGAGTGAATGTATTAAATTACACATATTAATGAACAGTTTTATACCAATTTATTGCTGATAAATTGTCTTCATAATGATAAGTTCACTTATTTATAAGAAAATGATATTAATTATTAACACTAAAGCTATTTCACAAAAAGCTGATTATCTAATTTTAATCACTAAAAAAAAAAAAAAAAAAAAAAAAAAAAAAAACTTCTAGTTACAGTTTACTTTCTTCTTATAAGGTTATAAATTGTACATATTAAGAACTCTCTTCCATAGCATTTACTACATGAAAGTTTTGTACTGTTCACTTTCTTCTTGTAAGAATATAAATTGTATATATTATGAACTCTCTTCCACAGCATGGCCAATGGTTGCATACAGACCACAAAGACTTTTTCTGGTGTTGATAAGAAAAGACTTTACAGATTGTATGCAGTCTAGAGCTCTAGTATAAATAAGAATTATTAAACAAACTTTATAACAGTTAATTTAATTTTCAAATTTGTGTAAATTTTTCATGCTTTCTAACTATTTTATGACTATGTCATATAAATGCTCTCATAAAATGGATGATAATTTGAAATGTAAGCTAAAGCAATATCATATGGTTTTTAGGGACATTATGATGAAGCTTTACCATGTTTTTTTAACATTTATTGAATTATCTAACCACTGAACAAAGTTGTATAACAATCCTACAATTACCTACAAAAACATACTTATAAAATATAACAGAGATAAAAATGGGATGGTTGTGTAATGAAACATAATTTCTTAATATTAATAAAAAGAAATACACTTTAAGAAACACCATCACACATATTTCATACGAATAACAAAATACAATTAGTTACACATGCATAACCAAAACACGACAAACATATATAAAAAATTAAAACAGGAAAGGTTCATACCACCAACTGATTCAGTTGTTAAACCTTTAAACAACAGATCTTCTACATGGAACCCAAACTCTAAGTATGATTTATGCATCTGAAATATATTGTGCAATACATAAATGACAAAACACGGGCATATTGGTTACATTATTACACGGTATTAAGTAAAAATACACAAAATCAATGATTACCTTGGAATGGAAAATTAAATAGGAAAACTGAAAAAATCAAAAATACATGGACAGCAAATTATATATCCAAAACCGCAATAAAATGTCAAACGGCGCGAAATCATAGGGCTTCATATGTGATCAAAACATCAGATAACATTAAAGTCAAGCATTGTGTATAACAGCACATTTTGCATGAACTAAAGCATTGAAGTGTCACGCTCTGATTCCCTATCGTGCGAAAACGGTTTGTCGTTGGCTGGCACAACAGAAACAGATTGCTAATCAGTAGACAGTAGCCAGCACCCGACAAAATCAAAACAAAACAAGAACAATTACGGAAATCTCAGTTACGGTTTATTTCAACTTAACTGCAATTCAATTTTACCTTAAATAATAATTAAAAAAAAAAATAAATAAAGATGAACTAATAAATATTACTGAGACCATAAGATATTAATAAAAAAATTTGAGAAATGTAAAAATAAATCTGCCTGGTCTTACCTATATTTTAGGTAAACCTACATCTTGAAAAATATTCACTCATTTCTAACTATTTTACTACTTATTAATTAATGAAAATTTTCATATATATATATCATTATTATAAGAAGATGAGAAGAAAATTTCATGTCCTTTTACTTTACATTGGAAATTTTATTTTTGATTTTGTGTAATTCTTTTCCCATTAGCACTTTGGCAAAAAATTATTATTTTGATGCATGAAATATTCTTCCCTGGACCATGATAAAAATCTCTAAGGATAATTTGTAAACAATATTAAATCAATAAATTTGAACTGCTACTGTTTTTTAAATTCCTGCCTCCTTTTTTTTTCGAAAAACGTTTAAAAATCTGGCAATTGCGGTTCTTTTACCTTTTGTTTTCATTATTGATATCAGGACTGTAAGGTATTAAGTTGAGGGTATTGGACTGATCGCGTGAAATTTTCAGTAGTACATATTTAGCGATTTTTTTTTTTAAGATTTAAAATGCCAGAGAAGTATAATTACGAATGCATTGCTGAAATTGTAACCGATGGTGGTGCTAAATTAACTAAATACAAATCAACAACTAATGGAATGACCATATGCATTGCAAATGTTAGCGGTCCTTTGGTGAGCGGTTATTTATGTATAGGTAAGGAATATTTTCTCAGTTCATAATGCTGTTGAATATTTTGAAAACATTAGGGCCAAAGATTATGACTCGGATCTTAGATTTTTAATTGATCGATATTTTCATAATATATGCTTATAAGCTTTCATAATATAACTGGGTAATAATTAAGATTATTGATATTATTTTTGGTAAAAATATATTTACGGGTGCCACTTAACGAAAATTGGTTATTTTTGGCGGTACACGGACACCGAGTTTGTGCAAAAATAACAAGTCAAAGAATTGCACAAACTCGGGTTGATCTTTACATTACGGTAACTTGGTGATTTTTTGGCGAAAATTTGGCGACCAACTCCCCTACAGCAACCCTCTATTTTTTTTTCCCCGCCGCCATTTTGTCTTCACGAAGTAAAGACATGTTTCTTTTCTTTTATCTACTGAAACACTTCTTCCAACAATTACTAGCGAATTACACTTATGCTAGAAATTTATCAAACAAAATGCTTAATCATGACAATATTCACTGCAAAATTCGGAAAAAAAAAAGTGCACAATACCATACTCCTTACGCGTTTTTTCAAATAACACATACACATAAACCATGTACACGCCCGACTTATTTTTACTTAAAAAAAAATCCAGAATGCACAAAATGGCATTGCGCACACTCTTCACTATATCCATGTACATGCTTTTTTCTCATAAATTCGAAAAATTTCACGAAAATACATGACAAATTTTCTCAATCTTTAAACCGGTAAAAAGAACATATATGAAATTACCTGATCACGAAAAAGTATTTACCTACAAATATGAACATTTCCACATATAAAATAAAAAAAATATCCAAAACTTTTACCTCTAAATCATCTATTACATATACACGTCACCAACGAATTCATACATGAAGCATTACAAATATTAGTTCAAAATATTTAATTATTCCATGCAAGTTTATTTCAACTTAAACGTTAAACCAAATTCCTACAAGCATAAAATTCACAAAATAACTATCATTTATTAAAATATCACTGAACCATGTACACGTCGACTTATTTTTACTTAAAAAAACATCCAGAATTGCACAAAAATGGCCATTGCGCACACTCTTCACTATATCCATGTACACTGCTTTTATCTCATAAATTAAAAAAATTTCACGAAAAACATGACAAATTTCTCAATCTTAAACCCGGTAAAAAGAACATATATGAAATTACAGGATCGCGAAAAATATTTACCACAAAATGAAAAGTTCCACATATAACTAATAAAATATCCAAAAATTTACATCTAAATCTCTATTAATATACACGTCACAACGAATTATACATGAAGCATTACAAATATTTATTATCAATATTTAAATTATTTCAGCAAATTTAATTAACATAAACTAAACCAAATTCCTACAATAAAAATTACAAAATAAACTGTATTAAAAAAAAACAATAAAAAAAAAAATAAATAAACATTCAATTATTAAAAATGACAGGAAATAATAAGTAATTTAAACTAAATCCGTGCTAATAACAATTTTCCCAATAATACCAATCCTTTCCACTAATTTCCAACATGCAAAAAATAATTAAAAATACAAAGTACCTAATTCCTTCAGAATTTCATTTAGTGGCGGATACACTTTTCATTCTTTTCAGAATCTTTAAAATCATACTTATCTTTCAAAGCAAGGTCCACGTAAAATAAATACATAATAAAAATTTTATTCTCTCTCACAAACCTTAAAAAACATTTCTACTATCTTTCAATCCACTAAATACCATTACGAATCATTTTAGGCCGGGATCCAAAAAATTCACAACACTATTTCACACAACACACATAAGCCAACAAAATTCCAGATTTATCCCATTAAAGAACAGAATTCGTCCATTAAATCAATGCCTATCCCAGATCTCATTCCTCAACAAAAAATGCGTATCAGAATAAATACTACTCACATTCTAACAAAGTCTAACTAACTAATCTTATCCGAATTTCCTACCTGGTGGAACACTTTTATGGATTCAATAAAATCACTGAATGATTTTTTTCTGGTAATTTTTCCACCATATTTTCTCTGCTAAATAAAAAGCAAAATTCTCCTTATAATACTTCGGAATAGCACTTTTTATACCACTCCAGGTGCCTCTATGTGTTCGTATGCGCACCACTTCGGATCTTTAAAATATACTTAGGTTTACAGCAAGATGATTAAACCTCATCCTCCAAACATTGATATGATTTCCAACAATCTGAAATAATTATAATACCCGGTAAAATATTTCTTTGATAAAACTAATAACATCTTACTTCTATCTCGACAACCTAAAAAAACATTTACTACCCTTTCATCCCACCAAAACCATTTTCCTTCACGCTCCTACCTTCTCATATCGCTTCCAAAATACTCTCATCATTCCACAATCACATTCATCACAAGGATACATTCATTTTCGCAAATTCACGCACATTCCTACAAAAAGATCAATCAGTGCAGTCCTACTAATTTCAAATCCGAAATCCAATAGTCAACGGCATTATTCCCAATAATAAGAAATCAATAAATCTCACCTACTCAACGCTTTCAGCAAACCAATACTCCTATACCCGTTTCACAAAATGTGCATTTCACCAGATTTCTTGAATGCCATTCAAACTATCACTAATTCTTCCTTCACAAATTCTTTATCCACATTTTGGACATTCAGACTTATCGCAATTAAACCTACCATCAGCACCTTCACCAATTCTTGAATTACACACAACGTTATAAAAATTTCGAATTTATTTAGAAAGCGCCATACAATCCAAAATTATTCACCCTACTTCACACAACAACAATGAAGCTTAAACAAATAATATATAATCACAGATACTTCCAAATTCCACCTTTCCGATTTTAAAGAACCGTTAATTTCGTCATTAATATCACATGACATATCCATGATCTCTTCCGATAAAGAACCGTAATTCGTCCATTAATATCACATGACATATCCATGATCTCTCATTTCCCCACCAAAAATATGCGTAATCGGAACTCAGTACTCCTCACATTATTACCAAAGTCCCAGGTAGTAACCTTTATCGCCTCCAAAATGTCGCCAAACTACCAGTTACCGTAATGTAAAGATCAACCCAAACTCGGTATCCATATACATATCGACCTATTTTCACTTAAAAAAAATCAGAGAATTGCACAAATTTGGCATTGTGCATCCCCGTGACTTTCTCCATGTACACATCAATCTATTTTCACTTGCAAAGTCAAAGGAGCAGCCAATTCTACACAAATCAGGCAAAAAATATATAATCTTAATAAACTGCATTTTACATCAAACAATGAAATAACATAAAAAAGGAAATTCATCTCAGCACTACACAAAGGATATATCCATTTACCTTATTTTGAAATTTCCGTGTCTTTAGTCAAACAAAATTCCTCAACAGCATCTAAAAACTTCCTAAAATTATCTGAGCTAGAATCGGTATACTGGTGTCGCCACATAAATTTCCAAAAATAAGAGTAAAAAATATCCTCCATAGTGCAGGTATCTTCCGATGTTTGACCATAAGCATTTCCTTCGTACAAACAGTATTAAATCAATTTTACTTGTACAGTATATTTTACTTTAATGGCTACTAAATAAATCTTTCATTTACAGACCAGTCAACTATTGCTTTTCCTCCTTTCGTTCCAAATCATACAGAAACTTCAAATTAATCTTGTCACATTCTGTTATTATTGCTGCACAAACAAGCCCTTAACCTTTTCCCATCATTCAAATTCACCACTATCATGCAAACAGTTACATTATAATAGGGTTTCTATGATATTGAACTACTCAGGTTACCATAAATAAAGCAACAACTTGGCGATAAAGGGGCACCTTTAAATATACTGTAACCTTATTTTTCACTAATAGTGTCAATTTTGAAAGCTTTTGTTTTCAAAGCTCAAAACATTGTAAAATTTGTTTTCAGTGGAAAAGTAAAGTCAAATGCAGTTTCGAAGATGGGAGGATTTCCTCGGAGAACACTGTAAATACACTTCCCAGAAAAAATATCCATACACAAGGGGAAAAACTTCAAAATATTGAGAAATTCAATGCTGAAACCTTCAAATTTTTTATTAGATATTTATTAGTAATTTTAATAACTTTTCAATACATCTTTTCATGCATGTAATTTTCATTTGTAAATTGCATGGCTTTGATAAAATAGAACTAGTGGAATTGAATGATTGTGCGACCTACTTGATAGAAGAATGAAAGAATGAGTCATTCCTGAAACCTGCCCAATATCATTGTAAGTTTTGCCTTCTTTTCAAAGTTTCAGGATAATGCTTGTCGCATCAGCTACAGTTTCTTAAGTTTTGGGGGACCGTCACCGAGTTTTTAATGCACAAACTTTAATGCACACTCCAAAAGACAATTTATCCTAACAAAAACAGATCACAAACTAAAATAGAACCATAAACAGGATTTTTAAACTAATAAGCCTTGTAAAAAAACACTCGAATCTAAAAAAATCCTCAAGGAAAAAAAATCAAATAAAATTTGTATCTCATTTTGGTAAATATGACAACATTTTTTTTTCTGCATGTATGGATATTTTTAAGGCAAATGTATAAACACAGCCAAAAATGGTGTTAATAGTTCAAACCTGGTAACCCAATGGATTCACTTGTCTGGCTGTAGCAACCGTTCCTCTTACTTTCTTTTTGGTTCTTTGCATTGCTGTTCATAATTTTGTAAATTGTATTGAAACACAAATCTTTAATACAACATAAATAGCCAATGTATCTCTCATCTGCCCCTGTATGGCAATGTAATAATTCTTTTAAGATCTCAATAAACTCCCGGTAGATAGGGGAGGACGCCGTAGATAGGGGAGGGAGCAGGACATATGCCTGCTTACCTCTGTTAAACACCAGGTATCTCCGTCACCTGTCACCTGTCTTTGCACGTGTAATTTATTCTTCACTTATTTACTATTGTTTGTCTGATTTCTATGCTGTCTTTCCTGAACTTTTTAAAAATTAGAAGATGGAATTATTTTTGTGTAATTAAGAAAGTTGTCAGAGACAAATCTACTTGTCTGTAGTGATGTAATTCAGAAGGATTATTGCCTTCATCGAAAAAATGTTCACAGCAAACAAGAAGTCAGTGGGGATTCTGATACTACTGATTAAGAAGCACATGGCGAAGGGAACAACTGTTATGACTGATGAATGGCATACTCATTCTTATGCAGGCATCGATATTATGGGTAATCGTTCCACAAATTTCGTTCATCTGGTTGCTGGTGCACATATCCAATTCACAGAATCAAACAGGCGGCATCTAAAAGTAAAATTATAAAATTAAGGTGATTTTCATAAGAAAATTCTAGCTGATCACTACTTGAATGCCTATTTTGGCATGAAGTCAAACATAAATGCAAAATCCTTTCAAGGAGATTTTAAATACAATTAAAAGCTCAGGTTAAAAAAAAAAAAAAAAAAAAAAAAAAAAAAGGGCAACCTTTTCCTGGGCCATAAAAATTTCAAAAAAGAAATGAAATATTGCTAGATATAAGTATCCAAGTTTTTTTTAAAACTCTAATGTAATAATAGCATTAATTATAAATCTATTTCAATCATAATACTGGCATTTAATTGTTATTTTTACTTACATATGCTTAACATGTTGCTTTACTACTAATCTGAATTTAATTATACAGTCAAAAGTCGTTAATCCGGACTCGTCGGGACTTCGGTGATTCCGGATTATCGTTTTTCCGGATTATAGATCATCAGTTTAAATCTGGTAAGATGGCATGCAGAAATTATAAAATTAAAAATATGAAACCATAATTTATGAAATAAAGAACAATTATGGGTTGTTCTTTACAATATGGTAACTGGTAGTTTGGCGACATTTTGGAGGCGATAAAGGTTACTACCTGGGACTTTGGTAATAATGTGAGCAGTACTCAGTTCCGATTATGCATTATTTTGCGTGAGGGAAATGAGAGATCATGGGATATGTCATGTGATATTAATGGACGAATTACGGTTCTTTAATCGGAAAAGGGGGGAAAAGTGTGGAAATTTTGTATTTAGCTTTATTCTGTGTTGTGTGAAACAGTGTTGTTTAATTTTTGGATCCCATGGCCCTAACTAAAGTGAATTCGAAATGGGTATTTAGGCATTGTGATAAGAGATGTTTGTTTATTTAGCGGAGGAAGTATGGAGGAAAATTCGCAGAAAAATCTTTAATAATTTTTATTGAAGAAATTAGAAAAGTGTATCTGCCACGTAATCAAGATTCTGAAGAAGATTAGGTAAGTTAGTATTTTTAATTATTTGAGGATATTATTTTTATGCATTGTTCTAAATGTAAGGTGGAAGGATTGGTATTATTGGGAAAATTGTTATTAGCAATGATTTAGTTTAAAGTAATTAGGATTGTAAGTAATTTTTAATTTAATGTATGTGCTCATTTATATTTTAAGTAGTGTTTTTGAATTAATTATATTTTAATTAAATGATAGTTATTGTGAATTATGTTTGTAGAATTTGGTATACGTAGAGTGGAAGTAAACGTGCATGGAAATAATTTAAATATTTGACACTAAGTATTTGTAACCATTTGTAATGTTTGCGTTATGAATTAGGTGACGTTTGTAATATAATAGATAATGTAGAGGTAAAAGTTTTTGGATATTTTATTTATTTTATACGTGGAAATGTTCATATTTGGAAAGGGTATATACTTTTTCGCGATCAGGTAATTTCATATATGTTCTTTTTACCGGGTTTAAAGATTCAGAAAATTGTCATGCATTTTCGTGAAATTTTTCTAATTTATGAGAAAAAAAGCAGTGTACATGGATATAGTGAAGAGTGTGCGCAATGCCATTTTTGTGCAATTCTGGGATGTTTTTTTTAAGTAAAAATAAGTCGACGTGTACATGGTTTAGTGATATTTTAATTAAATGATAGTTATTTTGTGAATTTTATGTTTGTAGGAATTTGGTATACGTTTAAGTTGAAATAAATGTGCATGGAAATAATTTAAATATTTGATACTAAGTATTTGTAATGGCTTGCGGTATGAATTCGTTGGTGACGTTATAATATAATAGATGATTTAGAGGTAAAAGTTTTTGGATATTTTATTTATTTTATATGTGGAAATGTTCATATTTGGAAAGGGTAAATATACTTTTTGCGATCAGGTAATTTCATATATGTTCTTTTTACCAGGTTTAAAGATTGAGAAAATTGTCATGTATTTTTCGTGAAATTTTTCTAATTTGTGAGAAAAAAGCAGTGTACATGGATATAGTGAAGAGTGTGCGCAATGCCATTTTTTTGTGCAATTCTGGGATGTTTTTTTAAGTAAAAATAAGTCGGCCGTGTACATGGTTTATGTGTATGTGTTATTTTGAAAAACGCGTAAGGAGTATGGTATTGTGCACTTTTTCCCAATTTTGCAGTGAATATTTGTCATGATTAAGCAGTTTTGTTAGATAAAATTTCTAGCATAAGTGTAATTCGGCTAGTAGATTGTTGGAAGAAGTGTTCAGTAGATAAAAAAGAAAAAACATGTCTTTACTTCGTGAAGACAAAATGGCGGCGGGGGAAAAAAAATAGAGGGTTGCTGTAGGAGAGTTGGTTGCCAAATTTTCGCAAAAAAATCGCCAAGTTACCATAATGTAAAGATCAACCCAATTATGATCTAAAGGCTATCAAAATTTACAAAAAAAAAATCTTAATATTTATTTGTTTACTTTATTAAACATTTCTTTCAATGTAAGTTGTTTATGTTGCTTTGTTTTATGTGATAATACTTTCTCTTTAATTCTATAAACAGACATAATTTCTTGTTCAGTTTCAAAGTTCCGCTGTTCCAAGTCCTATAACTGTTGTGTCGAGAATACCGACTAATTTGTCAATCGAAATTTTTTGTTTTCAATAACCTCTGTGTCACTTTCTTCACTATCAGAAGCAAATTATAATGATGTGGAATTTGATTTAAATCATATCAAAGACAGAATACATCAAGATGAAATACTACATTTAGTAAGGAATTATAAGCCAAATAAAATGAAAACATCTGCCCTGAAGATAAGGATAGTGCTAACAGATCAACTTCCAATTCATTGCGCGCCGTGACGTTCCCCCCCGACACACATACAGTGTCCCCCCCCAAAAAAATTCAAAAAATAAATTTTGGGATCCATTTTGAAAGCTTGAAGTTTGACTGACAAGAAGTTGAGCATTTCATAGCTGCATGAACAATAATTAGAATGAATCTTGCTTATCATTTAAGAAATTATTTTCCTAGTCCATTTCTAAATTATGTATTTGTAAATGTATTAAAATATGTTTTGTTGAACTTAATTCATTGTTTCTTTATTGTAGCCACGGAAGCTCATGATGATGATGGATTACCTCATACTTTGGAGCATTTAGTATTTATGGGAAGTGAAAAGTATCCATATAAAGTAAATAATGCATATCCAATTAATGCATTTTTTAGAATATGATTCATTTTTTTTGTCTTTAGATGGAAATTAATTTTTGTTTTCGTAATCGAAATATTTTTATTGAAATACTATAATGCTCTTTCGGCAACTGACATCATGAACACAGACATACATGCATCATTCTGACTTATTTATTATGCAAATAAGGTGGATGAGAGTGATCAATTTGGAAGGAATACCATTTTTGGTGTTTCAAGGTGATCCAGACACAGTTTTCTAGGTAACATTGTTGATGGACTGTTCAGAGTGTTTTGGTATATTGTCAGGCAGGTTAGTTGTAGCAGTGGTTTAATACCATCTTGTATTTAGATAATTTTTCAAATAGAAATTATGCATGCAGTTCTTAGAATTAACTTGATTTGGTAAAAAATATAGCATACATTATAGCCTCCAATATATGTGGGAGAAGGACTAAATGAATGAAAACTTTAGAAGTGGAAGAAGCACCTTTCATCAGGCAACAAATAACTGAAAGACATAAAAGTCCTTTAAAAAAATTAATGTTATTTTGAAGCACTTGTTTTACTACTTTCTGATTAACTCCTTCTCTACCCAAAAGGCATGAACTCATTGCTGACTTGTTGAGAAAACTGTTTGGGTATGATATGAGGGACGTAGCCCGACCCTCCTGGCAGACTTTATGTCGCCGTATGGCCTTTTTGCGGGCTGCGCCAGAGCAAGCTAGAAACATTCAACAAACAGATATAAAGAACATAACTAAAAAACAAAACTAAAATCCCTACTGCAAGCTTATCATGATTAATCTTCTCCATCATTTTCCTGGCAAATTTTTTCAGTCTTTTAAAATCATTTAAAATATATATATTAAAAACGTAATCTTTCTTAAACTCGTTTCTGATATTAGTAAAATATTTACATGTTTCCACATAATGCTCCGCAGTGCCCGGTTCTTTACAGATATCACAGAGGTCAGACTCTAGTAATTTAAACCTTTTAAAATAAAAAGGAAAACAGGCGTGACATGTAATGATTTGGTTAATGTCATTGTCTGAATAACATAAACCTTTTTAAGTTTAACAAATTTCATATAGCCTTTATTTCAATCAGATCTTTCCCACTCCTCCCTCCATTTATCATAAATATAATTTTTCATAATAGTCACAACTTTCCTTGTTGACTCCTGTACATCAATATCACGAGCATTAAAATTGGTAATTGCCTCCTTGGCCAGTGCGTCCACCCTCTCATTTCCAATATGTCCAACATGTGCTTTCACTCAATTAAACACAATATTTTGATCTTCTCTCAGGTCTTCATATATTTCTCTAATCTCTACTATTAAAGGATTGTCTTGATCAGGTCGTGAGAGAGCTTGAAGAACTGTCAGACTGTCAGAATAATGTATATCATATTTCCCTTTAAGAGTCTTCTTAATCTATTTCAATAAATAAAAAATACCCATAGCTTCCGCTTGATAAACTGCATTATAAATATTGAGTTTAAATTTATTATTCTCAATCTCTGTTTCATAATACTATATAACATATGTGAAAGCAATGGTATCTCCCAGAAATGACCCGTCTGTATGTCAATTTATCCTATTTTTGGAGCATCCAAATAATACGGAATAAAAATTCTTTCAGCAGAGTGAATCAAATTTAAATCAAATTTTTCAAAAGCACACCATGTTACAATAGAATCTCCATATAATTTAAAATCATTATTTCCTGTTCTTAAACGAAATTTATGGGACGAGAACCGGTACTTTCAGCATGGTTTAAGTTACCTGTTTCGTTTTAATCTAAGATCAAACAATTTATGTGAATGTTCAAAAAGAGTGTCTCAGGATGTGGAACATTTTATTTTCTCATGCCCTACATTTGATGGCCCTAGATTATGCTTACAGAACGATTTGAAAATGTTCAGAGTGACTGGCCAGTAAAATTATCTGTGTTATCTAACTAAGTCCAGACTGCTGTTCTCTGCTTTTGTTCATTTTATTTATGCATGCAACTTTTAATGTTTTAGTTAACTTACTTCTGTAACCCCTGTGTTGTACATATGTGGTGCACGGGGAGTCTGTACGTTTTCAAAGAAAAAAAAAAAAAAAATCATAATAAAAAAACAAATAGTTTGGAGAGAGTTGGCCCCTAAATATCAAATAAGCTGGCGAAGCTATTAAGGGCCTAAAATATGGCCAAGCATAATAGATAATAGCTTAGAAAAGAGCTTAGCCAAAAGGCGAACGCTCACTAGTTGGAAAATTTTTGTTCGGTACTATTCGGTTTTGAGGGCCGTAAAAAATTGCCAAACTTTTGTTGATGCCAGTGCTGTCAAAAATAATTGCGGCAACCGTAACGCAAGAAAGTAATAAGTATAATAGTAAATAACTATCTAAAATTGATGTTTTAATTTAGATGAAAGGTTAATTTATATAATACTTTTTTTATTTTATAATTATATAAAAAAGGCTAAACATGAACTGAATGGAAGCATAAGAGTAAATAACTATTTCGAATCATTATTATAATTTATATAAAAATTGCTAAACATAACGGAATGGATGCTGCATCGCTATTTCGCTACCGAATTATCGCTTAAGCATAATTTCATCTCGTTGGTTGTTCAAACATAATTTTCTATAATGAATGATGCTTTTTCTTTGAAAAAATTGTTAAAGGGCAGAATCGCCCACTTATTCGTTTGCCGCTTTTTACAATTGGATTTTTAACATTTAAAAAAATTGTATTTTTTTCAATTTTCTTGTACTTTTTAAGTGAAAATATGTCGATGTGTGCACAGTTAAAGTCAAGGGTGTGCACAGTGCCATTTTTGCACAATTCTGGGATTTTTTTTTTTAAGTGAAAGTAGGTCGATGTGTACATGGATACCGAGTATGTGTAGTTCTTAAAAACACCTCAAGTAGTGAGTGATTCTGCACCCAAAATTCTATTGCACACTTTTCGTCATGGGCAATTCCCAAATTGTTAAATCCATAAGATATCAAAAAAGAATTTAAAATCAGAACAAGATTTAAAAATTAAACAAGTATTTCAATGGCGTCTTAAGAAATATATAGAACTATATAAATTTATGCAATCTGAAATCAGCGCGTACGCTAGGTTTGGCACTTTTGCACATACATTTTCGCTGCAAATTTTTTACGGTCCTCAAAACGGAATAGTACCTTTTGTTCTTTTTGATAAAGCTTCCAGTGCTGCCTATTTTTTTTTTTTTTTTACATACTTTTTTCGCATAGAAGATGCAGACATTTCTCGTTTTTTTGCACTGTTGTTCTTCCTATGTTCACCTATGTTCTTCCTATGTATGTTGTATGTATGTTCCAAAATTTTGCCAAAGGCAGCCAAAAAATGCAATATGCAGTTCACTGCTATGCTGAAACACTAAAATTTTCATAGGAGAAATCGTAATCTGTAGTTGCACTGGGGAAAATGTATGGAGAAGTGATAAGATGCTGGGACCTGGATTTGCTCTATGAATATTTTTTAGCAACACGATGCATTCTCATTGATATATATATATATATTTTCAGTTTTCATTCGGGGTGTAGATGATTACAAAGTATCCTGGTTTTTCCTATTTTGTTCTGAACCATTTGCATTTGTTCCTTTGGTTCTGTACCAATCCAATCATCAGGAGCAAAACAATTGTTTTCTCCTGAAGAAGAGGTACCTGTGTCTGACATGCCTCGAAATCAATTGAATTTTATTCAAAATCTGTAACAAACTTCGTTAACCTTTTTTTTTTTTTTTTTTTTTTTTTCTGTCATTTTACATTTTAAGTATCCTTTCTAGTGAGAATTTTTTGGCCATAAAGAATAGATATGCTTATGCATTTTTATACAGAATATATCATTCTCTGCTTTTGTGCATCTAGGGCTTGGTGAGGTAACTAGAGGATTGATGGAGAGAAATAACTGATAGTAGGATGTATTTCAAATAGCAAATCTTTAAGTGCATGTGCATGTTGTCATTAGTTCAGAAATTTTGGCACATTAAAAGCATGCCATTATTTTTTATTTTATTCATATTATGTTTACTGTATAATAATTGTATAATTACAATATTTTTATTCATTTATATATAAGAAATGAAATTGTGGTTTACTGATAACTTTTGATTTTAGGGTATCTTGGACTTAGTTGCTAATCGTTGCTTAGCACAAGGAACAAATGCTTGGACAGACACTGATCATACTTGCTACACAGTGACTACAGCCGGAGATGAAGGGTTCTTAAAGCTTTTGCCTATATATCTTGATCATTTATTATTCCCAACTCTCACAGTAAGTATGAATTTATTAGATCTGAAACTTTTCCACTGCTAAACATTAATTTTTATGTCTTGTGCTGGTGAATTTTATAATTTGTTAGATTAAATGAACTTATGTTTCTTCATTTAATATTTCAAAAATCACATATCAGTGATGGGTATACATTTATTTTATTTAACAGTTACATTTCTATCCTTTAGTGTGAACAATTTGAGTTTTCTATATTATTTTTCTTTGTATTAATAAATGAACATCTGCATTTGATGATGATTAAGTATCTGTATTATTTGCAGCCCAAATAAATTTTAAACTTTAAAGAAATTAACATTTTAAATTGCAAAACAATTTGATTAGCTGAACCAGCCCCGAAGCAAAACATTCAGAGGAATGAATTAATTCCTTTTGGATTAATTTTGGATACAATTATCTGACATTATCATAAAAGAATTTAAGTGTGTATTAAAATTTTTCACATCTTATTTGCCCAAATTCCGATTTTCAACTTTGACCAACATAGAGATGGAGGGGAGGGGGATTTAGACTTTTAAATCTGGATCACAAAATGAGGGTAGCTTTATGATTTTTATGCTCAAATGTAAATGAAAATATCAAAAAATACCGATCTCGAATTTCACTTTGAATGTAATTTGTTATTAAATAAACATTTTGTTTACTTTGTAATGCAATATTATTTTGTAATTTATTGAAAATTATTATTGTATGCTATTTTTATGAAATGTATTATATGTAAATCAATCAATTAACCAAGTAAAATTCTTTTAAATTTATCTTATTGTGCTGGCAAATTTTAAAATTATTAAAAGTATAATGTAGTGGAAAAAATATAGAAAATCACTGTGTTAAAGAAATCAACAATTAATAACAGGAATTGGCATATTGTAAATAAATATGCTATACTGTGTCTTTGAAGATGAGGCAAAAGTATCTTCTTTAGTTGCTATTTGCGAATGGTAAAATAAGACAAAAAGTTAATTGCGTCTCATCATAAAAGAGAAGGAGAAAACAGACTTCAGGCTCTATTTTAGGTATGAAATTTGGTCCTTATGCATTATCCTGTTGACTGGCTAAGTAGTGCAATTTAGCGCCAATTATGGATGACCATGTTCTTTAGAAATCCACTATAACGACTGGCGACCATTGCTGAAATATCCATCAGCGACTGATGAGATAGTGCAAAAGTACCTGAAATTCTAAGGTTTAAGCTTTTTAATATATGTTGATCAAATCAGGTGATCCTTGAACTTTCATGCTGAAGAGTATGAAACTTAATTCTCAGAAAAAGAAAGTTATAAATCCTACGCAGTCCACTATTGCTGATCAGACTTTCTGTAAATTAATAATCAGGACTTTCAATCATCTGTTGCAAAATGGATTAAATTTTTTTTTTTTTTTTCAATTGGTAAATTCAATTTCGTGTAGTCTTTTTCACATCCATACAAGTCCCATCATTTGGCCAGAAAACTAACATTTCTTTTGTGTTCTCATCAAATTCACTTGAATTTTTCATCTCATTTTCAGATTCATGGTTAAAGAAAGTTCTGTTTGACCTTCAGAACTAACATGCCATATCCATATCTAATATTTGATACATAAATGGTAATATCTCCATTTAATATTTGATTTCTTGAACATCCTGTTTCAGATTATAATTCTTTTAGATTCATTTATGTTATTAACCATATTAACGTGGCATTAAAATTTTGGGTTAAAGGGGTTAAATTTTGGGTTTTATGTCAAAAAAGAGAGAATTAACAAATCTATCATAAGGATTCATTGTTGCTTCCTTAGTCATTCATTTTTGTTGCCACCTTTTTTATTTTATTTATTTATTTAAAATTTTAGTTTTGCAATAATTATCCAGAAAACGTGTTGTCCATTTTATGAATTAGACTTCTTTTAAGTTTTTCTTATCTACTAAAATTTTTCAACTTTATTTAATACTATATAAATATTTTAACGTAGTTTTCCCAAAGCTTCTAAAACCTTATTGTCATGTTTTTTGATAATGTGGATTTCTGCTGTGTTCAATAGATAGTACTATACACATTTTTTTTTAAAAATTTATTTATTTCATTTTGCCTATAACTCTTTCCTTTGCAACTAGCTTAAGCTGCAATAATTCACCCATTATGTAAATTTAGGATGCCTTTTTTTGTCTAATTTGATATTGGTGTGTTCATCTTCCATAAATTTAACAGAAATTGAGAAAGTTTGCCACATTAAATTAAAATAAATGCTCATATTGTACTTTTGTTTAGTAAAGATATCCTTTTTTTTTTTTTTTTTTATAAAGAAAAAATTAAGCATTTATTTTGAGTGAAACAAATTCACAGTTTGTTAGAATCAAGTTTAATTCTTCTTTGTATTATGGTAATTTAAAATAACCAATGAAAAATGATTATACATACATGTATATGCAATAATTTGGAGTGTTGAAGTTATGTAGGTACATAAAGAAGAAGCTTACAGCCATTATTGGCTTTAATATACTTTTTTTGATTATTGTTGACAAACATTTTATAGCCAACTCACATAAAGTGGTACAGTAAGTGCGTATACTTAATGAACTATATCAATACAGTTTACAACTTGATATTTATAATTACTATACAAAATAATATTTTTGAATACAAATGAAGCAGTAGACTATCTAGCAAGAGAATCAGAAATGAGTTACAGCATGTCTAAGATGAAACTTGGGATCAAATTGACTTGAATTTTGTTTCACAAGAGTTATTCTTGGTTTGTTTTATCTTGATTGATTAAGATTTAAACTTCTAAAATTATTATTGTCTAAAGCCTTATGTAAGTTATCTATACTTTATGCTTCATGTAAGAGTTATATGACAGTTATTAATTTTGAAACAATGTAGTTTTGATAGATTTATTATAAGCATTTACCATTTTTAGGACAGAAAGAGGAAATACCCAAATTAAAATAGAGAGTTAAGAGGCTACTGTAATCTAATGTTAGAATTTTACTTTGCATACTAATCTTACATGTATATATTTTTAAATTACAGGATTCTGCCTTCATTACTGAAGTTCATCACATCAATGGAGAAGGTGAAGATGCTGGAGTTGTTTATTGTGAAATGCAAGCTTCTGAAAATTCAGGTGAAAGTCGCTGTCATTTAGCCATGCTTCGTTCAATGTATCCTGGTCATTGTGGCTACAAATCAGAGACTGGAGGTCTGTTAAAAAATTTAAGAGAAAGCACTACAAATGAAAAGGTGAAAAAATGCTTTGTTTTCTTTACAATGCATTTACTGTATCATAATATATTAAACATTATGATAAAGACATAAAATATTCAGTATGCAATTTTTTTTAATTGTAAAAAAATTAGAAAGAAACTCAATGAATCATGTAGCATTTTATGAAAAATAATCATCCATTATGTAATTTTTTAAATGCATTATACGTATAATTTGGTGTTTTATGTATAAAAATTGATTTGCAAATGAAAATTACCTTCCATTATATGATTTATTTAACATAAAAAATAAACTAGACTAGATTACCTAGGATCATTGTCATATAAAAATCAAAGAGAAAATATTAAGAGTGTGTTTTGATGGTGCTGTTATCTGTTGCTAATACGAAATCACGCTGTCTAAAGGCAGTTTTTATTTGCCAAGAGTAATCGGCAAGAAATACATAAGTACCAAAAAATTATTAATTATGTTATCATTTGCAAATTAAAAACACATATTACAATAGTATTTCACAGAGAGAAAAATTTTATTCTCCACAGATCACATCATTTTCACATAAAAACCATTTCAAGATTAATGTGGGAATTAGTGATGTCACATGTTTTATTGCTGTGCTAAAAGGGAGCAATTTTCTTTTACTCAGATACAGTAATTTATTATATTTCCTTTTCATTCTGTGCAAGGTGCAACTGTATTGCTAATAGAAATAAACTAAAAACTGCATTATTTACAGTGGTGAAGACATTTTTGGTCTAAAAAGGTGGAAATACCAAAGCAAAAACTGACTTAATGAAACATAAAGTAATTAAAATTGTTTTGATATTTTTATGAGTGAAAGTAAGTGTCTATGTACATTGGGAGATTAACAGCACACACACAAACTCATACACACACACACCAAGGGGGGGGAACCTCTCAAAAAAGGTGTTTTATTATCAGGTGTTTCTTGCTTTTTAAATTTTATTAATTGACTTAGTGTGCCACCATTCTGAAAATGACTGTTGCCTTTCATTTATTAACCTGGTAAATTACTACTCGCCAGCAAGTTCGCAAATGCTATCCAATAACTGACAATGAGTTGACAACTTTTCAGTGGGGGTTGGATAATTGGAAAGTATTATTTTGAGTATTCAAAGTACAGCTGTATTTAATACATTTCAAATGGAAATACACTTTAAAAATATATATATTTTCCATTTTTCGTGCTCTTGATATACTATAAATTAATGGGAGGGGAGGATCTTAGTATATATTTAAGCTCTCCAGACAAATCAGTCACCTGTTTTTAAAGCGTATTTAATATCAAGCTACACTTAATGAGCAGGAATAGCAGTTACGATTCTATATGGCATTGATGAACAAGTTTCTGAATATAGGTGACATCAGTATTCAACCCACTCTTGCAATGAGGGGTTTCAAGTTCAGCCAAATTTTGTAGATGAATTTTCTAGCATTTTGCTTATTATTCAGCTGGTTTGCTAGAGTAGTCTCGCAGGCTTTTCCTATATTCTAAATAAAGGGATTTTAGAGTTCAAATATGTGAATGCTTTTGAATGTTCCACATACCATTTATTCACATTTGCCACTGTGTGAATATGGCAGTTGTTGTCTTGAAACACAGGCAAAGAATGTTTTGTTCTTTGTTCAAATAATGATCAAAAGGGAAAACCTAGTTGTCTAGTATTTTAATATGAGCACTGTAACTCAAATAGATTGTGACATCAACCAAAGGTTCTATTTCCATATAATTTAAGTTCTCATGGAACATAAGGGAGCCTCTTCTAACTTTAACTGTATCTTGCACACGGTCTTCATCAGTAATGCCTGACTTTTAATTTGATGCAAGCCAATTTAGAATTAAAAATATTTTTGTGAGTCATAATTATATATTTCACCTTTAATATTTCAGTTATAAATGTATATAATGCTCATACTATAAAAATATATTTAGTAATAGGTTAAAGAAAAAGTTTAATTTTATATACTCTTTATAATATAACGTATTAAAATTAAGATGCAAATTAAATACAGGAAAAGCAGGTTTTAATGTGAAGCCTAAACGTCTTTTGCAAATTTAGTGTAGTCTGGTACATACAGTGTTGGTGTTATGGCTAAACTCATGCAGTCATTCAGATGTTTGTTTGTTACCCTAGATCTGAACTTCATTTTTAACGAGTTCATTGTTGAAAAACCACTTTTGCACAAGTAAGTTGATCCAAAGCAGCAGTTTAATATTTGAAAAGTTTCTTTAAAGAGTACATATTTTTCTCATCTATGAGTTTTCAAAAATCTGTGTGTGATAGTCTTATTTTTAATTAAGACTAGACTAATCAATTATTTCCATTTCTAGATCAATATAATTTTTATTTAACTTATTTGTAATCTGTTGCAATATTTCAGAAATGCTAGTATTAACATTTGAAATGAATGAAGCAATTGGTTGAATTTTATGAAAATCAGAAGGTCTAATTTTGAAAATATTTTTAAGGTTAATGAGATTTTCAGAATATTTAATTATTTAAATTTTTTATTTAAAATATTTCTTAATGGCAGTTCTCTAAATTTGTAAAGTGTCAAAAGTTAGATTTACGTTCCTTTATTTCTGATATCTATAAATTTAATTTTGATTTAAATGCATTCATATTTATTAAACTCAGCCATAGTCTTTTATTTGCTCTGAAGTTCAAGATTTCATTTATTCATTTTGGTTATTATGTCCCTAAGAAAGACTAAATTAGATAACCGAAAATGATCTTCTTTATAAGTTTTGTTCTTGATTCTAAAAGCTTTTTTTTTTTTTTTTTTTTTTTTTTTTAATCTCTGGGAAATATTAAAAAAAAAATTGTTGTAGCTCTTTTTCTTCACTAAGTTATCTAATTTCAGAATGTAACTTTAAAGTTCCATTCTCAGTACCAAGTTCATCGTTCAGTACTTTGAACAATCTGCTCATAAATGATCTGGCTTGAACAGAATTTATAATTTTCAGGACAACTTTCATCACATGTTTGTAATGTAAAACTTTAGCACATAATGCCTGCTGATGTATGATGCAGTTGTAGTTAGAAAAGTTTGGAAAGTTAGTATCATGCTCATGTAATGGGATGAAACCAACAGCAGAACCAATCATGACAGATGCACTGTCTATATGTATATATTCGTGAAGCAGAAAATTAATTTCAGTTATATGGTTTTGAATAGCTTGGTATATGTCAATGCTGCATTGACTTTTAATAGCAAAACTCACAGACCATCACTAAGTAATCATTAAAGACTATCCTTATAAAAATATTTATTTAAGGTACATTGCAGATATCTGTTGAATCATTGCACTGTAAAATTAAGAAAATGCATTTTTGTAAATCATATTTTACTTGTCCTCTGGCATAGCTTCCATTGTATGAATGTTAGTTTTCTTACATAACTTCTGTTCTACGAGTGGTTGAATTTCTGCATAGTTGGACATCTAGGATAGCTGACATAATTTCATTTTTAACTTTTTGAAATAAAATCTTCAATGCAGCAAGCTTTCCTTCCGTAACTGTGTTGCCATCTTCAAAGGGTTTTTTTTTTTAATTGCAAGTATATGTGCTACCTTAAATGAGGCAATCATATCAACCTTCATTTTATTTGTGGACTTAATAAACATTGATTTTTGGTTTTTGGGCAATGAATGCATGTTTCAGTTCTTTTACTTTATATTATCTTAAATTGTTGATAGAAGGATATTCAAGAACATATTTGATGTGAACTGTTATAAAATGTCATTCTAAGTTACTTTATTTTCAACAAAAACTGTTGAACCAAAAATCAAACAAATATATTTATTCTTAAAATTGCTGAATATTATTTCTCTCCATTGATCTTTAAAATTATAATTGTAGGTGTGTTTTTTCTTTTCTTCTAGCTGATATCAGGGCATGATTAGGGTTACTATAAAATCATTAATGTCTATTAAAACTAGGGATTAATATACATTTAGGAAGTTTTTTTTTTTTTTTTTTTTTAAACCTGTATGTTGCTATCAAAATTAGCTACTTCATGCCCAACTTCAAAAATTCATTCCGAGTTCTCTGGTATCTGTGTCATGCAGTGTACAGTGACCAAATGACAGTGATGCCCTAAAATAAGTAAATGCTGCACATCAAAGGTACTCTTAAGGATCATCAGATAAAAATGCATCATTCCGTTCAGGCTGAAGCAACCCACCATGATATCAATGATGATGAGAGCATATTGCTGTGCAACATCTAATGTAAAATATCTTGTCGGATGTGTATTTGAGTGTATGGCATAATTTAAATTCTACTTTTCCTTTCCCATCACCTGAGAAACCATGTGTTTCAATGTCATTTGGGTATCCGGTTATGTTAAGGCAGAAGTGATCTGGCAACCACAGTGAGAGAAAATGACAACGTGGTTAGCTAGCAGCCATTATTAGTGGGCTTGATTGCGTGCTGGGAGGTGCACCTATGCGATGGCAAGAGTGTCCATCCAAACAGAAGTTAAAAGAAATAAAGCTACAGTCCATTAAATCTTAGTGTTTGTGTTTCATGAGTATGTTTATTCTCGAACATATTTTGTGGTCCGTGCAACCCGGTAGGAAGATTAGTGCCTATGGATAAAGTGCTGGTTAAAAAGCTTAAAGGTGAAGTGTTAAATTGATAAAAAAGTGTGATATGTTACTTCGCATTCGACAAGATAATTAAAAATTAGTGTGTGTTTGGATTTACAAATTTCGGGTTCATTTGGATTACCTCAAACGGAGGTAAGTGAATTTGCTCATATATGTTCGGTATTATTAATTAACGTTAATTATGGAAGCATTTTTAATTAAGAAAAGAATTTTAAAGTCAAATATAACGAAAGCGACATCAGATTTCGAAAAATATACTTGTGATGAATTTCAGTTACAACTTTTTGAAAATAAATGTGCAAAATTTAATAATGAATGTTCAGAGATTTTTGATAAATTATTTGTAAGTAGTTGATGAAAAAGAGTTTGACAAATATGTAAC